CTCTGTAATCTCTTCTTCCCTACTCTCATAGCACATGTTATCCCCCTTAGGCTATTACTTTATACTTTGCATTTTTATTATGCTAAGTATGCATTAATTTACTTAACATTTGAATCTCTGGACCCTTCCTCAGAAAATTCTGATGTATTGGTTTGCCTGGGCATCTAGTATCTTTATTTTGGCAGCTGGCCAGTACAGGGATCTAACCCTGGGCCTTGGTGTTATTGGCATCGTGCTCTAACCGACTAAGCAACCAGCCAGCCCCATCCAGTGTTCTTTAATGCTCATTAGGTGATTCTAATTGTACAGTCAGGGTTGAGAACTACTGGAATAGTGGTGATCATTTCACGATGCATATGTATATCAAAACATCAAGTTCTATACCTTAAGTGTATACAATTCCTATTTGTAAATTATACCTCAATAAAGCTAAAAAAAAAAAAAACTACTGTAATAAAGATGTAACAGTGCCTGGCTCGTGATAAGCACTCAAATATTTGTTGACAGATTAAGTTTTTAAAGGCAAGGACCGTGCTTTATCTTTGTATCCCCCATAGCACTATTGCCAATTACTATATATATAATTTGGCAAAATATGTTGTCTATTAATTTTTGTGGTATTTCATATAGTTGTGTGGGCTACTCAGAATATGAACTTGGATTACTTTTGTAACCAGAAATTGCTAAACAAAACTGTGAAATGTTTTTCTGCTCTTGTATTTTATTTTATTTTTTCATTTGTATTTTAAAAAGCAAAGAAAAAGTACCATTTAGGAAAGTCTTGGATTTAATGATCTCTGAACTACTCTTGTGCTTGATCCATGGCTTGAATAGAATAAACCCCATTCTGAAATCTTAAATCTTCTATTATAAGGTAGTCTTCATAAGATACTGAATTCTAGGTCACTTTAGTCCAACTGTGCTTAATTAGGAGCTCTTAGAAATAAATATAGTAAATATAGCAACTGAATATACCTATGCTTTGAGTAAATACCTACCTGTAGCCAGTGAATGCAGCAGAATTACCAGATTGCACCAATTGACTCCTGGCTTGCTTGCTTTATGTAGTGTTGATTGCAAAATTTGTTTTATGAAGGGAGATTTCATTTTCTTTATAATTTTACAGAACGTTAGTGACCTTTTAAAGTGTTTATGAATATTTATAGTAATGTGATTTATCTGTCTTTGAGTAAGGCAGCACTCATGCTCAAATCTAATATAGTGATGGGTATATTCTTTCAATGAATGACAGTCCTTTTCTTGATATTCCTCTTCCTCTTTTGCTCTCTCCCTTTTTTTCCTCTTTGTTTCANAGTAATGTGATTTATCTGTCTTTGAGTAAGGCAGCACTCATGCTCAAATCTAATATAGTGACGGGTATATTCTTTCAATGAATGACAGTCCTTTTCTTGATATTCCTCTTCCTCTTTTGCTCTCTCCCTTTTTTTCCTCTTTGTTTCAATATTAGGTGTATCTAGGTCTGCTGGGTTGGTAATATTTGTCTATATGTAAGGAGTAAAGAGGATGGGGAAAAATAATATGTTTTGTTTATTTTGTTTTGTTTTTCTGTGTACCTACTTTCTCCAGTCCTTATTTTCATAACTTTCCTTCTGTTTTCCTCCACAGTTAGGAGTAGAAAGGGAGTAGGGTAGACCCTCATTACTTTTGGAAATGCCCTCATCCCAGACTACCATTTATTAAGCATCCATTATTTTTCAATCTTTGTTAAATCCTGTAATATAAATCCTTAGATAAGTAAATAAATCACATTACTATGAATATTCATAAACAGTTTAAAAGGTCACTAACATTTATCATTAAATCCTTTTAACAGTGCCAGGAAGTAGGTAGTATTTTCTCCATTTTACAGATGAGTAAGCCAAAGCACAGGTATTAAGTAGCTTGCTCATGTTCTCACAGCTAGTAAGTGAGAAATGCCAGTTCAATCATAGTTTGCAAATATTTTCTCCCATTCTGTAGGTTGTCTTTTTACTCCATTAATTGTTTCTTTTGCTGTGTAGAAGCTTTTTAGTTTGTTTATTATTTTAGTTTGTTTATCCCATTTGTTTATTTTTTTGTTGTTGCCTGTGCTTTTGGAGTCTTAATTCACAGTCTTTTCCCAGTCCTACATCTGAAGTGTTTCTCTTATGTTTTCTTTTAGGAGTTTTATAGTTTCAGGTCTTATATTTGTCTTTAATGCATTTTGAGTTAGTTTTGGTATATGACAAGAGGTATGTGTCTAATTTCATTCTTCTACATATGAATGTCCAGTTTTCCCAGCACCATTTATTGAAGAGGCACTTTTTTCCCCAGTGTATGTTCTTGGTGCCTTTGTCAAAGATCAGTTGCGGGCCGGCCCGGTGGGAGTGCGGCGGCGCTCCTGCCGAGGGTTCGGATCCCATATAGAGACTGGTCCGCTCAC